CTCTTTTTTTTTTTTGTTTTGTTTTGGAATCTGCTTAGTGAGTAAAAGGAGCAGCTATATGTTTTAAAGACTTTACAAATTTCTGCTGAATTTCTTAAAGTAATTTTAGTTTATGGCGAAATTTTAAGAGATAAAGAACGTACAAAATTACTGCAAGTGTTAAGTATGATGTAATTCAAAAACTGATTATTTAGAACACATTTTCTAATATAAAATTATAAGAACGCTGTAAATGTTTTATTTTAAATCTAGAGTTTAATGTCAAAAGTGTTTACGACAGAATTTCAATTTTTTAGAATTGCCCAAAAATTATTTTGAACAATTTAATAATTATTTAATTTTTTTAATTAATAATTATATTTGAATTTATTAATAATTATTTGAATTATAATTTATTTTAAATAATTATTTTGAACAATTAATTGAACAATTTAACAATTTAATAATTATTTAAGTCTAGTAACTCATTAAGTATTTATTATGGAACTATAGCTCTTTCACATAACGTGTTTCAACTAATGTGAAGTACAAGTCTTCTATCCTTTAAAAATTTGTAGTCAATATTTTTTTCTTACGAACAATCTTTGAATTATTTTCACTATATACAAATGAGAAATGACTGGAAATAGGTAAAGATCACAATAGTTCATACTAGTCATGCATTTTAGAAAAGCCGAACTTATTTCTATCACTTTTATTTCGTATAAGCGCATACATTTATTCATGCAATTGAAGTGCCGATTATGCATGATAAATAATGCGCAAATATAATTAATGCAAATTAATACACGTAAAGCTCGGATATTTTGAAAAGCGGTCTTGTAAAACTGTAATTAAATCAAAGGTGCCGTAAAATATGAACATTTCGGAGATTGCGAACGACATGTATTATTTGAAAAATACCTTAATTGGAACAGTAATGAAATTTACTTAGCTTTTTCAATTTTTATCCTGAAGAAAGATCTATATCTATTATATTCCTTTATTTTCGAACCTCATTAACGTTTTTTCAGACAATATGACAAAAACTGCAGTAAGCTGTAACTCATTAAATTCGAACTTTGCTTATTCTTTATTGTCTTGAAGCTTGTCTATACCTTCCAATACCTCCACCAAAGCCATGGTTTCTATTTCACTTCATTATTTCTCCGGGCTTTTCTATTGGCTTCTTTTATATCACTTGGTCAGAAATGTCTTTCTGATAAAATTTCTATAATCTTCATTATACTTGTGATCCTTTATTTACACTTCCGTATTTTATTATATTTTCAGACTTCCTAACACGATATTGTTACATCCTCAGTTATAATTTCAAAAGATTATCAGCCGTTTTGCCTCTTCCTCAGTCGGACCTTCCAATTATACTATTTATACTGTTGAAGACCCATTTTTTCCCAGCAGTAAATTAGCGTAAGCTTTTTAATTCATTACCGGCCTTAATAATAACATTGCATTGCATCAGAAACTTTTAGACTAAAAACGTCAGAAGTGCTTCATTGTCTTCAGGAACATTTTTACAGGCGATAAAAACTGATGATTTATAAAGCAGGTAATCAAAAGTCAATGTATGTGAACAACAAATGATTGAGAGATAAAACTATTCATTAAGGGCAGTTTCTTTGGAAAGCCGTACGGTTATATTGGCCGCATAGTGTTTTTTTTAATTTTTCTCATGTTTATGAGCCAGTTTATAAAAGAAAGTGAAAAAAAAAAAAAAAAAAAAAAAAAAAAAAAAAAAAAAAAAAAAGGTAATCATAATACTAAAATGTAATCTTTTTCCTTACATGTGTAGCATACGCATACCTTGCATAAGTATCTATAATTCGTAACTTAATATGCTTGGCACATGTTTACATTTGCAGTTTTCTTTAAAATTGCCTTTTTAAAACAACTGTAAAATTTAAAACCCTTTTTAAAACAATTGTAATAATATAGGTTATTTGCTTTTATTACCTCCCAAAAAAAACATTAGTTCCGAATGGGATATTAATCTCGAAACGGCATATTGCCTTGAATCACTATGAACGGCGTATCACTTGTCAAATTGTTGCCACCAAATATTATCGACCTGTATTATTTTTAAATAAATCATGAAGAATCAGCATGTGAGTATTTATATTCCTCGCATTGTGAAAAAACGACTGCACCTAGAGCCATCAAATGTGAATAACTTAGTCCTGTATGAACAAGTGGACCTGGAAGTCCGAATTTGTTCAATTGTCTGTTTCGTATTTTATAAACCTTTAACGAATTTTTGATTAACAAACTCTGGGATTTCAAAGCGAGCAGTATTAACACTGTACGGGAAAAATCATTTTTATCTCTAGCACGCGAGTCGGTCTATCGGAAATTCTAAAGATATGCTGTTTTTAAATATTTTGTGGTTTTGCAGATGAATCAAATTTTACTTAGTACTGAGAAACTGAACTCGTATTAAGCGCCAAGAACGTGATATTTAATAAATATAATAAACTCACAAAACGTTAGTAATAAAAGGACAAAAAAAAGTTTTGTAAAGCCATCTCGGTAAGAAAACTGAACATTGATATGATGAACTGAAAAAAGACTGAAAAAAAAAAAAAAAAAAAAAAAATAGAAAAATATATGCGAACACTTAACGCTGCATTGGAAATTCTAAACGTATACTGCTGTGCTATTTGTAATTTTTTTTTAATTTTTCTGTTGAACTGTGTACGGCATAAGTGCGAAAATGATAATAAGAAAGCGAAAAAGACCAAAAAAAAAAAAAATGCTTTAGTTGGAGTGAGTGTTTATAGCAAACTGGTAGACTGCGAGCACAGCGATAGCGTAAAAAACCTTAACAAACCCTTTTTGGGAACCGTTACAATATGAAACCTTTCAGATATTTTTTAATTGATATACATTCTTATCATGCATCGGAAGTCAAGCAAATATTAGTAAAACTGTGAAACACTCACTTTGAACTAAGTTACAATATTTGTTTTTCCATTAGTTCTGAAAGACTTAACGAATTCTACAATCATTTGTAATCAAAACGGAATATGTTGAGATCTAAAATTGCATACTTATAGTGCATCTTATTTATATAAGCAAATGTTGCTGAATTTTGTGATTTCTAATTTTTTTTATTTATTAAAGAATGAGAGAAAGCCAGTTTCTAGGTTCTTTATATGCTTTTTAGGAAGTTCTGCATGCAGATGCAAGTAGGTGGTATGGAAAAAAAAGTTGGACTGATAAGTTTATTAATTTACTTATGTTATTTTTGTTTAATAAGATAGTTTTTTTCCAAAGAGGGATAATAGTAAAATATTTTTAAGCTGCTGTACATCTTTTTATGAAATAGTGATTTTTAATGATCATTCTTATTATTTAAAAGCTCATTCTTTTTTAATGTGGAAGTGCCAAACATTCAACTTAATCTGACTTTCTTCTCAGTATTATTTATTTATTTTGAAAATTGTTTTAATATAATCACTGTAAATGCATTTCATGCATATCATTTGAACTTATTTTTTAAATTCTACTCTCGTTTGCATTTGATAATTATAGAAATTAATATTTGCTTTTCATTTTCTATTTTGTAACTCTTAATTACTAATAAAATAAGTAATTGGAAAGCATTCATAAAAAATCCTGCTAATCTATTTTGTTAGCAGGACAAAGTGCAAAAGTTTGCATGCTAATTTTTTATTCTTTTTTCATCTAAGTGGTTGCAAAAGTTAAATAGTTAAAGCTGTACTTTTACTAAATTTAAAATTATTCACATTTAAGATCGTCAAACTTGCAAGCGATATTTTCCTGCCTATGTGTTGCGTCCATGGTTGCTTTTTAGACGTGCATGACACAGAGAAATTTCTTTTCTATGTATTGTTCGATTAAAAATAAAAGTATGCTAAGAAAGAGTTGACGTTCTACATGTTTGCATAAATTTATCTGATTAAAAGAAGTAGTCTTCTAACAAACTACACCCAAGAAGAGAGTATGCAGTGTACTACAAATTTACACGCAACAAGACACTATGCATTGCGTGTACTGAGGCAGCTTTACAGTATCAGTGATAAACAACTACTATTTTACAACAATATGTTTTTAGCGAAAATCTTTCTGTTTGCTTATTATTGTTAATTTCTTATTTTACCACTCCTTGATGTTCATTTCTATTCCGTAAAATGAAAGTGTACCATTGTTTGAATAATATGATTTAAATATCTAATTATGTGTGACTTCTCAAAAGTGATTGTAAGTGATCATTTAATAAAAAAAAAACTTTATTTTATAGCAGTAGAACTTTTACTTACCGATATTGACTGATATTTGTAGTCATGAAAAGGTACTTTCATCGGTTTCCATCTTTTTTCTTCAAACCGCAAAGGTTATTTTTGCTAGTCCTTGTTCAAAAATAATCTCCAGCATCCTGTCTACAAGTCTGAATGTTTGCAATTAAAATAACTAACGTTTTATTTCACATGTTAGCTTTAAGTTTGTTCAGATCCGGTTTAATGTAAAAAAATTTTAAATGGGTTAAAAAGAGCGCGTTAGAACCTTAATACTGCATTTTATGTTATTGTCTTTGCACACTGATAAAACTTTGTATTAAAAGTCTGAAATAATTTTAAACTAGAGAGAAGAGATTTGTTATTCGTAATTCAGTTTATAAAATTATATCTAGTGTTACAAATTATAATAATGAGTGAATCCATTTAAATTGTTACAATGGAAATATGTTAGCTATCCCATTACTTAATATTGCTTATATTTCATTTTCCAATAATACTGTTTTTGTATTTATTTAAGTGAATAATTGCATGAGCTCCGATAGCGATTTGCCGTATTTGAAACAATACGACAGAAAGATGAATGAGGTTAATTTTTTGCGAGACTGAACTTTTAATAACCTATTTACGTGATAGAAAATGTGGTGGAAACAGTCAAAAACCTCTCACATATACATAGTTACATGGCAACAAGTCATCTAATATTGGCAACAATTTTATAGTTGTTTTGTTTTTTCTTTTCAGACTTTTCCTGCGCCCTTGTATCGGATATACTCCTTCAAGGTCATCTATTCATCACTAAAAACTTTTTTGCCTTCTATTCTAACATTTTCGGCCATAAAACACAGGTGAGTTGCCTTTTAACTTTTGTTAAAGAGCTCTGATTCAATTAATGCTGAAATTCATATTACTTACAGTAGAAGAATTTTATTTATAATTTTATGTATAAATATATACATACATAAAAGAACAATGTAATTCATATTACTTACAGTAGAAGAATTTTGTTTATAATTTTACGTATAAATATATACATACATAAAAGAACAATGAAATTCATATTACTTAAGTAGAAGAATTTTGTTTATAATTTTACGTATAAATATATACATACATAAAAGAACAACGTAATAATTCATTTTTAAAATTCAGTCTTAAAATTCATATTTCATCGAACAGCAGGAATAAAATACTGTAACAACACTACAAAGTAAAAACTAAATTACTGCAGAAAACTAAAATTAAAAAGAAAAAGATAACAAAAATATCAAACAAAGACAAAACACATTTCTTGTGACGTCTTCATGGAGTTTGTGCTGTTGATGTTTTGATGGAATAGCAATTTTAAAATTCAGTTTTAAAACTGAACTATTGCATTGTTCTCTTATGCCACTAATTAACTGTAAGCGTGTTATTTATTATACGTTATTACGGACTTAGTACCTTCAGTTTTTAAGTACAAACACATATAGACATCTACATACATGCACTCACACAAACATTCGAACAATGGAGATTGAGAGATAAATGAATTAGTAATAAATAAAAGATGATGGAAGGTAACTGAAGAATAGTTAAAAATTTATAGTTAAGAAATTATATTATTGGTCTTTCTCAAGTCATTTGTGTTTGCTTTTTATTTAAATGCACAGTTTATAAGGTGTTTCTCCCGCCTTCTTAGCGTGCCATCATGCTTTAGTGATCTGCACGCTCGGGGCGAGGTCCGTGGCTCGATTTCCGGCGAGGACATTGCTCATTTTTCAAGTCTCTTGCTTCCAAAAAATACCTAATGTCTCTACAGGATTTCAAGTCAAGTCAATCATTTTAAAATTGCAAAATAGGTGTGCGAAATTTGCTCAATTTTTTTTTCTGGTTTCTTCGGATATGATAATAAAATTCGGTTATGAGAAAAGCAGCAATTTATTCTTATTTGAAGAACCACTTGACCCATAAGCATAATTTTAGAGGCGTCATGTTGCTAGAAGAATTACACACTGACATAATCACTTTCAATGATAATAAAAGTGAAATAATGCATATTTTTAGTACATGTTATCCTTATTCATTATTAATTCTTAAATATTGTATTTATTATTACTTTTAGAAATGTATTGCCATTCATGTGACATGTAAAAAAACATTGCTTCGTTGTGTGAAAGAATTTATAAGGGACTATATAAAAGGAATAAATTATGGAAATGGTGACAAATCCTTATCGAGGGTGGAAAGAGTGAAGCCTGTACCAATGGTAAAATACAAAAAGGGATGAAAATAGAATGCATTAAATATTAATGAGAAAGTGATAAAAATATTTATCGGGAGCAGTTTTAAACGACTTCGGGTATTAAAATGTATCAATTCGATTGAGTACAGTGATATAATAATACAAAAATTCACGCATATTAATGCAAAAATTATACAAAAATGTAAATATATTTTTTGGGAAGGAGGTTGTTATAATATTAGATCGAATTTAAGAATAATAAAGACAATTTTTTTCTCACAGGTGAAGGAAAATTTCAAATAAATATCAGCAATAGACCCGTTAAATGAAATATATATGAAAAAACGGAGACTGTCTTCTTTATTGAAATGAAATTTTACAGTAAGAGAACCATAAAAGAATGAGTTGTAGTGTTAAATTTGGATTCAATGTTACATTATCGCTTTTTAAAAATTTTAGTGTTCAAGATGTGGATATATAATTAGCATTAATTTTGCGATCTAAAAGTTTAAGTACCCATTAATATTAGAATAAAGTTAAATGCGTGACCATAAGATTAAGTTAAGGAGTTAGAGAATAGTACATAATATTCTTCTGTATAAATCAGGGTTTCTTAAACTTTTTCAGTCGCGACCCATTTTTATCAGATTTTTTCACGAACCCCAAGATCCCATAATATTTTTAAAAAAATTGTGGGATCCCTATAAGTATTGCCCAAATCCGACACACGCGTGAGTGAAACTGTCAATTTTTTCACTTGTTATTGTAATATACTATTGCAGTTTTAGGTCACTAACTTTAATTTCTAATTTTAAGACATAGAACAATGTGAAAATTTTAAATAAGTAGCAGACGAAATGACAACGTCACGTGCAAAGCATGAAAAATGAACGTTTATGTTATAAAAAGAATGCGTCGAAAAGTTTTCGTTTTTTTCTTTGTCTGTATTGTCTTATCATTATCTATTTTCAGATACATTGTGTAAAAATGTTTAATTGTAAATTAATTATAATAAGTTAAAGAAATATCAAAACTGCTAAATTTTTTGGCGACCCAAAGTTTAAGTAACCCTAGTATAAATCAATGACATAATTACTTGTTTGCAGTCCAGAAGTACAGTACTTGCCCAGCGCGGATTTGAGGAACGAAAGATTGCTTGTAGTACACGTTATCTTAATTTTTTAGATTTGATTTATCCTACTATATAGTTTTATTCATCCGAGGTTCAGCGTTCATTCATAAACACTGTAAGCTTCCTGGCATCATTTCTGTTCAGAAGTTATCAAATTAAAGTTATCAAGTTTTAAAGATCTCCATCGATTGAAAATGAAGCCAAAGAAATCGTACAGATTGCAAATCTATTGGTGGCGAAGGATTTTCAGGTATGGAAGAAAGAAAAGTCAAAGAATTAATGGAGAAATGACGGATAAAAAATTGGACGATCTTATAAAATCAACCGACAATGAAAGCAATTATAATGAAGAAGGAAGTAAAGCGCCTTTAAATTTCAATAAGTTAAACGAATTTTTAAAACGGTGCATAAACTGCTTGCAGCGAAGATTGATATAAATGTAGAAAGAAGATACTTTATGAAAGACAATGAAGACCTATGCACCGCTTTTTATCGCTAAACTTTTAAAGAATTGCGTCATTTATTGTCCCAGTCAAAAATCAACAAATTAAAAAAAATATATCATGTTTATTAAGCAGTTATAAAAATCCTTTCAATTAAATTTTTTTTTCCCTTTTTCCTTTTGAATCAGTATTTCGGTTTGTTTAAATAATATATATTTTCTTAATTTGAATTATCCTTAACACATTTTTTCCACAGAAAGTTAACTTTGAAGAACACGATTTTGACTTGTATGCATTTTATAGTAATGATATAACTCCTTCGTTCGGCAAAGGTTTACTTTATCCTTGATATTAAAAAATGTATCTGTAACTAAAATATATCTGTGTAAATATAATTGTGGCATGTGATTTGCATTTTATTTCTTTGCTGATTCCATGTTTTTATAGATTTTGGCTACTGAACTGCTGTATTTGAGAGTCGTTTCAAAGGATATTGTAACTGTTTTTGCTCAAAAGTATTCTTCCAGGTGCGATTGATGGAACAAAAAAAAAAAAAAAAAAAAAGCTTAGGAAAACGATATATCAGTTTACGACTTTGATATCTAATGTCTTCTACTGAATTACAGTACGAATCACTGAAATGTGGATCGATATTGCTGATATACTGCGATAGATTTCTTTTCAAATCGAACCGTCTCAATTAATCGTGCACTGACCTTAACATTTTTCCGAACGCCAAGAAAACCGAAATTTTGTGCTCTAAACTGATAAATGCATTTCAGTATACAGACGCAGTAATTTAAATCCTTGTAATAGCGTGTACATCGTTTTTTTAACTATTTATTTTAATTATTTATATATTAGAAATAAATTCTATTTAATGCTCTTATTTTATTTGTTTAATTAAATACAATAACTCAATCTTCAATGTAATATTTTATAAAAGTAAGTGTTAAAAGCATTTACTGCTAGTATTTTAAATTATCACCGAAAGTATTAAAGAGGAATTTAATTTTAAAAAAGGTAGGAATGAAAAAATGTTGAGTTTTAACAACTAAAAGCTTTTTTGACCGAATGATATTCTGCAATTATCATTTTTATAATCATTTTAAGTAAAATTAAATTACATTACATTGGTGATTTTTAGAGCTAATAGCAATTGTCATTGTTATATACATTATCTAAATATGGGACAGTAATTACTCTCGAAATACAAAAATGTTTTAATGTAATCATGCTAGATTCTTAAATTTTAATTATTTACGTCAACTGATACAATTAAGTACTTATTTTATTTAATGCTTTTCATTCTTCATTTTAAATAAGTTTCTGCTCCCAAAAATAAATTCTTTGTTAAGTATGACCTTCGGATTAGTTAGTTATTTCATCACATAAGTATTTAACTATTTTTATTGCGTTTAACTATTTTTCTGGATATTTCTTGCTTTACACTCGAGTTTATTTTGAGTAAGACCAAAATAGTATTTTATGAAAGATGAAACATTTTTTATACTAGAGACTGAATTTTTTTAACTTTACTTATTTAACTTTGGACTAAAGATTATCTTTTCTTTTCTCTTTCCAGATCTTGATATCTGTTGCCGACGTGGTAAAAGTTACCAAAGAGAAAATAGCCAAAATCATTCCAAATGCAGTTGGAGTATACACCGACTCAGATAAAGTAAGTCGCTGAGTCTTTTTTAATAATTTTATATATGTGCCTGTATATATGTAATACGTGCTGGGACTAAAAAGTATCAGATGTAAACCAGATTTATTATTTTGAAACTAGATGACAATATTTTTTCCCACGACAAATGTATCTTCAAATAGACACCGAAGGAAGAAACAGGTAACTTCCAGTTTCAGATAGGGAAAAAAAATTAAGCGTATATCATCCTTTTTATTATAGTATATTTTTTTTCCTTCCCCGCTCCCTTTGCAGAAACGAATGTACTGAAAACAAAATAGGATATGTTAAGAGATAAAACGATACTATGATCGAGTTCGAGGACTACTTTTGTGGCGGGTGACTAGTGTCTTAAAAGCGCTTTACTTTGCCAGCGTTATGCAACAAACAGATATCGTAAAATCGTTAACAGTAGTCAACTGTTTATTTTTGTATTTAGGGAGTATTAGATTTTTAACCGTCATAAAACTGAGATTTTCAATCGTCGTAATTTTAGAGCTTTAAAATTTTTTAATTATTTAGACAGAAAAAAGTTAACATTAACAGATTGTTTATTTACTATGCTTACCTTTAACTGTGCCTGAGTACTTTAAACTAAAGAATCCTTTTCAAAAGTTTATTGAAGCTACTTTTAATCAATACTCGCTTATTAAAAATTACAGAAATTTAACAATCAATCAAAGCCTAAATTTATATCTAGATTAGTAATAAAAGCTACAACTACTGCAGCAAAGACCACACTTCCTTCCATTTTTTAACTGATTTTTTTTTTTTTTTTATTATTAACTTAGCTCTTAACTTTATTTAATAGCCATTAGTCTTGCGTCACTACACGGGTCGGCAAGTGGTGGCCATTTCATTACGGAAGCACTGTGGCCACCGTTGCCTCCTATGACGGGACGGACAGTTACAACCATGCCTTCTCCAAGATTCGAATCCGGGCCCATGGTTAGGGCAGTCAGGGTTATTAACCACTATACCGGCTGATCGGCGTAAAAATCCTATTAAACATAGGATTTGTAATTACTGAAAAAGGATCCATATAGTGGATGCCACTCGAACATAACCGTACTACATCGCAATTTTTTTCAAGTTTTATATATGAAAGAATTCAGATTGCATACAAGACACTGCATATTTTATTAACTACATATTTCAGGATTAGAAAAATTGTATTAGTTTCCTATTATAATTATAAAATTCGGGTTCACATTGAGGTGAACAAATTGGCGCTTAGGGTTTCCACGATTTTCCTCATTTGTGACATAAATATGAGCAGTTTCCATTAAAAGCTATCTACGAAAGCATCTTTCGCTTTAAGCAAACAGCCTTCACGTTCTAATGAAATAACTAACAAATTCTTCATCAAAATTTCATCAGACTCCTGTTTCTTTCTGTTATAGCCATGTTTGTAAATTATTTAAGCATTTTTAAATGTTCATAATATAAAGCCTATGTAATCTAATTTATTGCTATTTCAGTATCTAAAATACAGGGTGTTTGGGGGAAATATACAGCTTTTTGTAAGCTCAGTAAGTTTATTCACAAGACTGAACTTTATTTAGTCTTTTATAAAACATATTGCATCAGTATTAGAGTAGACTGTGATTTCAAGTTACTTTATTTACGATTAAGATTACTATTTAGTGAATAATAAATAACTGTGTTAAAAAACTATTTGTGTAATGTTTTAATGGTTGGCAAGTATAAGCTTTAGGCCCCCTCCAAACACACAATTAAAATGTTTAACAGCTGTTAACCAGTATCTGTTTTCTAGAGAACAAGAGATCAAAGCATTTTATAGTTTATTTTGCAACATTCTGTTCAAAGACTTTTCCAAATTTTAGACGTAAGTTTCTAAAGTTCTATTAGGCTTAGAAATACAATAGAAAGAAAATAAAATATAGAAAACCGGTAATAATTTGCAGTCTAAAGTAATAAGAGAAGAAATTTCTGGAAACTGATGCGATTTTCTTTATTATATCAAATAAAAATATGATCGGTTTCCAATTATTTTAATAAAGTATTATATAATTTAAATTCAGGAGGATTTTTGCAAAATAAAAATCGATGGTATGAAGCAGTGAACGCAAGCAAGTAGTATGTAATTAAGAGCAAAAGTTCTGTGATGGGCAATTTTGCATTTTAAAAGTAACAATTTTAAGGGAAAAAGTTTGTGATTTTACGAGTTGAATAAGAATAAGCTCATCCGAAGTGAACTTCGTGTTTAACAACGCATTCATATTTCCTTATTTAAACATGAAAAAAAGAAAGGAAAAAAAACAGTATTCACTAAGTTTAGTAATACTTTTATTTATTACCAAATTTTATTTAAGACACAATGTGAAATATGCTTCTTCAAAATTGCTCCACATTTTAAATAAACAGATTTAATTATCTACATTATTTTACATAGTACAGTTACATAGCAAATACGCGTTACACAGCTCTTCAAACTGCATTCTCAAAACCCACGCAAACTCTCGCTTAAATCGAAACTTTTCTCACATAGCTGAGCTATCTATGGGAGATAACATTCTCCTCACGGATGACCGTTCAGGACATCAAACTACCTCTTATATAAAATTATTACTTAACATTATTCTTAGTAAACATATAATTTTCTAGATTAAATAGTTATTTCATATAAATGAGTAATACTAAGCCTAAAACAACATATAGATGCAAACAATGAATTACACAAAGTTAATAACATAAATAAGTAATAATATAATAACATTGAAACTTCAATAATTCAAAATGAATATCGATGAATATCAAGTTAAAGTTCAAAATTTTTCACGATACTTAACTGTCTATTGGTAATACACACAATTTGTGAATGGGTCTCTTGAATTCACCATCAGCAGTTTTCAATTTTATAACACGAACTCTGTAATCATTACCTGGGTAAATTTCGGTGATACGTCCCAGTTTCTAGGCGGTGATACGTCCCCGTCCCACTTTACACACACACACACACACACAGACACTTTCTTTTGTTATATGGAGAGATATTTTGAGGAATTAAATGTTTTTGGCTATCTGTTATTACGGAAAGCAATAAGCAAATATTTCTTTAATAATTTTATTTTTATTACAGAGCGTAATTTATATGTAAAAGGCAAGATGCAACACTCACGCACACAAACATACGCCCCTAATTTTTTTTTTTTTTTTAATTAAAAAGAAAAAAAAAAAAAAAAAAAAAGGAATGTCTAAGCTGCCTAGTCTTTGGATGATTGTGATTCTCCCAACAGACGACTTTCCTGTTTAGCTGAAGTCTAGACGTTACTTAAAATAGACTATTACGATTCCGTCTAAACGAATTAGCCTACAGATTGATCAGAACAGAGTTAAAATTGAAGGCTTTCAAAAAAAGATAAAGCATTTTAAGGATTATTTTTTGGCACATGAAATTAATGATCAATATATTTTAGCATTCCGTTGCGTAAATATTTAAAACAATTTTCTTCAAGGCTGTATAGTTTTTCCCCTGTACTTTGCAGTATCACAGTAGTTAAAATGCTATAAAACATCTCTTAACTGAGCTTCTCTTAATCTGATTGTGAAGAAAAATAATGGCGATTCATTTAGTTCATTTCTTGTTATTTTACAATTATTTTCCTCCATCCACTCCATTTAAATACGTGTTTTTGGAATTGGAGATGAGTGATTCGCGAGTTTATATGTAGAAACACTGAAGTGTCGGTGAATATCGGTTTAGAAAATGTGTTGGAATTTAATTTATTGATGGATTTGCATCACTTAAAATTCTCTTTGTCTTAGTAGCTAAGCTATCGAAAATCAGAAATTTTATTAACATTTTACAGCATATCTCAGAAAATTTTTGCCATTTCATGCGACTAATTAATCAGTGGCAACAGCTACTGTTGTTCACAGTATTCCAGAAAAGAATTTCTAAAACTACAGACGTGATTATTTATTGAATATTATGAATTTTTTCATATTATTTATTAAATATTGTGAAATTCATACTAGGTTGCACAGTTTTTTAAGTGTTAAAAAATAATATTTTTTAATAGAGTCTTTTTTTTTTAATTCGTTGAACATCGTTTTGTTTATTTGTTGTTGTCGTTACTAATGTCACAATCAGACCAAGCCCACGAATTTGTTTTCTTGGAGAGGAATGCAAAATTACGTCTGTCGTTGGCCAGAGCCTTGAGCACCGTACAGGTGATAATCCGTCTTACGTTCAGTTCCGCCACCATTTTGAAGGAGAAGCACCCCTGTGAAGTGGATCTGGAGTCTACTATCTCTCTTTCCATACTAATAACGTCTCAGTAGGATCTTCAGCTCGCCGCTCATTTTGAATGTTCCCCATGCCGCACAGGCATTATTACATTTACAGACATCCATGCATTCTCCAGGATTCGAACTTGAGCCCTTCGGTAAGGCAGTCAGCGTTGCTAACCACTTTCCCGTCTCGGCGGCTTTTGTTTATTTAAAAGTAATGATTGACATAAGAATAAAAATTTAGCAGTTTCAGAGATGCAGTATTTATTTTTATAAAAGGGTTTTGCCTGATAGTATTATCTATCTTCAGTTGTCGAAAATGTGGCTTTTCCCCCCAAAAAAGTATTATTTAAAATGGGTCTCCCCATTAACTCGCCTTAACTAGGCTGTTTGGAATAAATTACAAAAGTTCTTTTCAAACTCATTCATATTTCAACTTGCAGGTTTAGGTATTATACATAACCTGCATTAGGGAAATGACCAGATAGCTTTTCTCTCAATCTTTTCTCTTTCACTTCTTTTACAAATATTTTGTCATCTCAAACCATTTATCGTTGCCATCGATATTTTTTACTTAATACCTTTAATTATTTTGATATTAGTTATGATAGCCAGAAAAAGTAATCATGCTTATCTAAAAAATATAATTATTATCAATCTGAATTGCTAAAATTATAAATTGCTACTAACATTTTCTAGATTAAAATACAATAACACGCCGAACAAATAATAATTCAGAAGTCAAACAACAACAATCAGCGTTTATATTTTCAAATTTTAACAGGACTAGTTTCGATGGTTTTACCGAACCATCGAAACTTTGAATCATTGACTTTTGAATTATTATTTTCTAGATTGCTAATAACATTGCTTCTAAATATCTTTAAGTTGTCTTACATTAAAAATATACTATCATTTCTGTTCCGAGAATAGATAAATGTGTGTTTTCAAATTATGTAAAATGATCGGTTGTTTGTTTGCTATCAAAGACAGAATCTTTTTATTGCTATTCTATAATTTTCATTTGTTATAAAATTTCTTTTAAACCTTCTTATTTTATTTTTGGATCGATGCTGTCCAGAGACTCAGCATTCCGAGTTATACAACAGACATGGATACAGTCAACAGATGCAGTGAGTTTCCTTTTCTTGTAATAACATTTTAAATTTGTAATGGCTACGATTTTTGATACCAGTAGGCAAAAATAATATAACTTTATATAGCGTAAACTTTTAACAAATGTGGCGAATTCTTTTTACAAAAATATAACAAATGTCTTTCTTCTCCCTGCGGAGAAATATAGTATACAGTATATACCCTTGCAAACTCATTTATCTTTTTAGTCAAATGTATTTTTTCTCTGCCTATTCGTTTCGCATTTTATCTCAAACATCAGAATTAAATATTTTAAAGCATATTCATAATCGAGAAACATACCTAACTTTCGCAATACCGTCACTAAGATCAAATGCAAATAACTAACTGTGCATTAAAAATATATTGGAAGGCCCAATACTTAATTATAAAATTACATTGTTTTGATAAAATAAAGTAAGCGGCACCTGATTTTAAAAAAAAAAATTTTTAAGTAAATTTAGATTGAAATATTGTGTTAAATTGGGATTAATTAATTAAAATTGATTCTGTTTCTAAAAATATATATATATATGAATAAAAATAATAAAAGATTTCAAAATCTTCGAAGCATTCTTAAAATGCAGGAGGTGTTTATTTAAGAACAGCGATCTTCTAAATCTTATAACACTTAGTGTTAAATTAAAAATTAGATACAAAAGAGTAAAACAGCATTTTTTAAGTACTAAAATGAATGTTTTAAATTTTAGCTAGTATTGACATGCTAGATTAAAGTATTTTTTTTAAATAATGCAGTACAAAGAACGGCATAAAAAACATTTATTTTTGTATTTTAGACTAATTTTCACTTTTTAATATACAGTAGGAATAAAACAAAGTAAGAAAAACTTATACTCACATAGTGAAAAATTATCAGGTTTTTTATATATAAAAATGCATGAATTAATATTTTTACATGAATAACCTTAAATGTTCTCCAGAGTATTGCTTAGTAAGATAAAATATCTTTTTGCATTATTAAAGAGGCTTAATTTCTGTATCATTTCATAATTTACTTGAACATCAGATTTAGCAATATTTTGTCCTGTTGCGTATTTTCAAAGAAAATAAACTGCAACATTGTCATTAATTTCTCTAAAAATTTTTTCACATGTATAAATTTTGACTTGTTTTTAGTAATACAGAAATTTTTAACTGCGTGTGACGTTTACTCGGCCAGGACAGTTCGATAAAACTAGAAAGTCAAACATACCCCGCCACCCACAAAAAAAAAACCCCTCAAGTAAATTTTTTGGATTTAAAATGCTTTGAATAATTCACCTTTACACTTTATTTATTGAAATTGTAATTATACTTAGGTAAATTATTTGATAAATAAAAGCGAATTTGTTAACGTTTGAAGTAGAAGTATGTGAAACCTTATACAGAATAAATTTATTAATGGATTTTTAATTTGTTTGTCAAGTTGTATTATAAAAATATACTCTTCTTTAGAAATAATTTAAGAAAAGAAGAAAATTAGAAACTTTTTTAGAAATTTTTCTTAAAAATATACTCTTCTAAAGAAGAGTATATTTTTAAGTTAATTAAATTACTCTTCTAAAGAAGAGTATATTTTTATAATACAACTTGACAAACAAATTAAAGAAAAAAATAAAGATGAACTACAAGCTGAAAAACTTTTGTTATCACTGTGCAAATTCTAGACTAGGGTACATTTAGGCCAACAAATTAAGCGAAATGCTTTAGTTTCGACTGAATCTCAAAATCTGGCAGCGTGCTTTCGAGTCTTTCCTAGGGATGCCAAAAAAAGTTGAATTGAGAAGTCGTTCAAAATATTTTAACCAAACCGATGTGTTTACTTCAGATTAGCTTAATCTGGTCTTGGTTAAATCCTCAACAAAGTGCAGAAACTAGAGAATGCATTTGGAAATAATAATAGAAAAAAGAAACATGATTTATCGTACTTTAACTGGAGCACGAGGATGAAAGAATAAGATATACAGGCAATAGCAGTAACGACTCTACGAACTATTTGGTACCGTTATTCTGTAGGGCAGATGGAGATATATCGATGCTCCAAATCCAGGGTTTCTTGAGGTAGGTGTCGCGGGACCTGCAGCAGGGGATCACCAAAAATTTTAGCAGTTTTGATATTTCTTTAACTTATTATAATAATTTTACAATTACCAAATATTTTTATACAATTTATCTGAAAATAGATAAAGATAAGACAATACAGACAAAGAAAAAACGAAAATGTTTCGATGCATTCTTTTTATAATATAAACGTTCATTTTCCTTTCTTTGCACGTGACGCTGTCATTTATCTGTTAGTTATTTAAAATTTTGATATTGTTTAATGTCTTAAAATTTGAAATTAAAATTAATGACCTAAAACTGTAATAGTATATTACAGTACAAGTGAAAAAAGTGGACAGTTTCACTCACGCGTGTGTCGGATTGGCGCAATACTTATAGGGTCCCCCCAAAAATTTTTTTAATATTATAGGGTCCTGTGGGTTGCGAAAAAATCTCAGTGATAAAAAGGGGTCGCGACTGAAAAACATTTAAGAAACCCTGCTCAAATTTTGATAAAAATTAATGATTTTTTATCAACTGGCTAATTCAGCATCCTCTAAAAAGACTGCTGCTAACATCAAACCATGGTTGTAACTGGGGTGTTGCATTAAACGCTACCAGACCCTAAGATTTCTTGCCAGTCGAGAATCTGTCAAACATGATTTGCTGATCATGCCGTCCAACGCACTCCCAAATCTCAGCTAGTAGCTTGAGTCAATATCACATGGTTTATAGAACTCGAGTACAAACCTTGGTCTCGGTTTACACCTCTAAAGACACTGTCATGCAGAATTGTGGTCACGTTTGCTACTGACTATTCTATAATTTCGGTCACTGGGCACCTGTAATTGAAATAAAAATCAGGTTGTCAGAAAATACTTATCATTTTATGTGGAAGATTTTCTTATTTGATAAATTATTTCATAATGCTGCATTTTCTATGTGGATTAATATATATTAATTTTATTATTATAATTTTCTTTTCATTCCTTTAGAAATTTCTGATAGTTTTTAACTGTCTTATTTTTGCATATTATAGTAATTTCCAAGCTCGTTAAACTTCATTAATTATCTTATTTTTAAGCATTATGTACGCATTCTTCTAACATATAGCTATGATCGAATCAGTTACAAGTAATAACGGTATACTAAAATATTTAAAGTTATAAACGGTTATTTACATAATATTGTATATCAGTTTAATTTGATTGCTTGCCTACATTTAGAAATATTAAAAACTTTTTAAATTTATCTAAGGTTTCTAAGAATAAAAAATGACAAGTTTATCGAAAACTTTTTAACTGCACTAGCTCTTCATAATAAGTTTCAAGATATTAAATTACATGTAATAAAATAAATGCCTAATATTCTGCTAATAATATTATTTAATCCTAATGTTAATCTTAAACTTGTCTTACCCTCATTCTGAGTTCATTTTTACTTTACCAGCAGTTATTTTCTCGTAAATTATTCCCCTTTATTCGTTCGGTTTAGGAAAGAACATGTTAAAAATAAATCATTCTTCTGAGAGGATGCATAAACCTGACATGGTTCGGGCTAAAAATGAAGAACAAATAAAAACAAATTTTCGTTTCTATTTTAGGGAGTCGGTTTGCCTGATGATAGTGATAGCGAAGTTTCTCCTGCCATCATGCTGGTAAGTCATCAGTTTTATCTGCTTATGAACACTGTTGTACGTATAAAATCCGATCAAAAAGTTTCCATTGAAGGGCTGCGCAACTTTATAGGATCCCTTTATTTTGAGGAAATTACTTCTTTCTTTAAGAAATTACTTCATTACATGCTTCTGTTAGCTACTTTCGGGGGGAGGGTAAGAAGTAAAATCGTCGTCTTACCTGTATGGTTGTTAGTAATGAGTGATTAAGTTAAAGATACGCTTCTAATGGAATGTTGTTTACTGCAGTAGTCTCAAACTAACGGACCGCGAAGACACTTCAATTATGTTTCTGTTGCAAGATTTCAAGATTTCAGTTCTTTGAAGTCCGAGCTTATATTATTTTCCTTTTCATTAAAAACGAATATATATATATAACGTACCAAAATACCTATAAATGTAGCCAGTTAATTAAGAGTATGATGTAAATCTTACGTGAAGACATATATTGTGTTAACTTTTAATCGTACTAGTCAAGAAATAAATCAGTTACGAATTTTTGCACTAAGAATAATCGCTTTGTTTGGGAATACATTTATATGTGAGTAACGTTTTTCCTTAGTTGAAAATTAATAAGAAAAATAAACTGTTGACCGATGAGCAACTGCAATCCTTGATGAAGATAATTTCTAGTAATTTCTCTCCAAGGCTACACACTGTTTCAGAATCAAAACGTCATCAAGTGTCAAGTTATTGTAAGAATTAAAGAAGTTTATAATTATTTACATACAAACATATGTATTTTAATTATACGTCGAAGAAAAATTTAATAAATAAAAGAAAGAGACTTAATTATTATTATTTATTTTCAAATTTTGTCCCACTTGATTAATTTTCTCTGAAAGTGTGGAGGGTTTTTCACAGTTTGTTTATTTTTAATTTAAATTAAATTAAATCATGTCAGTGTTTAATTAAGCATGTTAGAATTATTTGAAAGAAATGTGAGCCTAAAAGTTTAATATTTATCTGTCAATATATTCGAATTATAAAAGGTAATCAATAAAAATGTCCAACAGATATCAAACTCTAGATTTCAGATAGAAAATAAATACAATTTTGGTATTTTTATTTGGAATATTATTGCAGTTTAAGTATGTTTGATAAATATTTGGTAAGCGAAATTTAAAATTTCTTTAAAATATACTTTTTATTTTGCTTTAAAAAAATTCTGACCTGTCAACTGTTTTCAGTTTGTGCATTTAGCCCGCATGCAGTTTGCGACCACTATTCTATTGCATGAAAAATTTCTGACATAGGTATCTTTGCCTTATTTTCCGATTGAAACCGTTATCCTTTGACACACTTTAGAAATGTATCAAAAATGAAAAATGGCATGATGATCGTGACGCCTAGAATATATATAGGCTGGAGTCTTTCATATAAAATTTTCGATCATTATTTGTTACACAAAGTAAAGCTTCGTAGAATTACCGAGATGCTTGAACTTAATTGCATGTGGCAATCTTCCAACTGTTGTCGATACCATAATGTGAAATACATCACATTACTGGTTTAGATTCTTTCATAGCCTCTTTCCGACAAAGTTAGACAAAGAAAAAAAAAAAAGAAAAAAAAAAATCTCATGTTGGTCCTTTTTGGATTCATTTGGTACCAGTGATATCGTTAAATGTGTGTATCATAGATAATTCTGCCTGCAATGAATACCTTACTAATTACGCCTCTCAGTCACAGCTTTAATATGGGCTCATTCTGGTCGCAGTGACCTTTATATATTTTTATAAGCGTGTTCATAGCTTTCGAATGGAAACTTTCTGGTCAGAAAGTTTCCATTCGAAAGCTATGAACACGCTTATAAAAATATATAAAAGTCACTGCGAGCAGAATGAGCCCATATGTATATATATATTGTAGTAAGCTCGCCTAAAAGTTACTAGGAGCTGTTGCTCCAAAAAGTTCAACACGTTTTAAAAAATTAATACATATGAGAATCAAACCATTAAACATGTAAAACATTAAAACATTAAAAAAACAGAATCGGATAAAAAACGTAAGCGGAAAATGGTAAATTAGCCCAACTCGACTTCCAAACTGGCTTTTCAAGGGAAATTTAATTTGTTTGAACGTCGAATCAAGCCAACCCCATTACGCGTTTCGCCGAAACAGACAATTGAAACTTTTTCGCTAGAATTGAGACTATTAAAATTTTCCAAGACACTTTGTCTAAATTTTAAAAAAATTTTGTAGCGAAAAAGTTTCAATTGTCTGTTTCGGCGAAACGCGTAATGGGGTTGGCTTGATTCGACGTTCAAACAAATTAAATTTCCCTTGAAAAGTCGAGTTGGGCTAATTTACCATTTTCCGCTTACTTTTTTTATCTGATTCTGTTTTTTTAATGTTTTAATGTTTTACATGTTTAATGGTTTGTTTCTCATATGTATTAATTTTTTAAAACGTGTTGAACTTTTTGGAGCAACAGCTCCTGGTAACTTTTAGGCGAGCTTACTACAATTTATATATTTTAACTTATTTTGCAGCATATTGCGCAAGATGTTTTCTAGACCAAATTGGTTTTTCAAAATTGTAATTACTACCTTTCTTGATATCTTTATATATATATATATATATAGATATATATATATATATATATATATATATAATTGTGATTTTTCAAATTCACTTAGTGCGAAATCGAGTTATTCTGCTACTTGCACAATTGCTGCAAAGTAAGTTAATAATAATTTAATATATATATATAGATAGATACATATACATGTGTGTGTGTAAGATAAAAAAGTAAATCAAAATTATAATTTAAATTAGCAATAGCCCCATAATTTCCTCTATTCTAAAAAATAGTAATGCCTTTTCTGGACTGCGTCATTTCTAGATCACTCCATATCACATGACTTGCATAACGCTAATGATGTAGCTAATTCCAAACTTAAACCGAAACGTTTTCTCAATAGGCTTCCAGAATGGATAACTGCGCGCTTATGCTTCTACCTCTGTTCTTCTTAAGCTGCTCTCTTCCTATCGCAACAATATCAGAAATGGAAATGTTCTTGAATAGTCACAATTAGAGTACCAAGTGAATTGTGGCCGCAAATGTCAATTTAAATGAAGATAAATATTTAATTCACCTCGACTTTCAATTTCGCTTTTCAATATGAATCAAAACAGCTTTGAAATATATTTTTCATACGCTCTGCAATAAAATCATCTTCTTTCAAATTTTTTAACTGCGCATTAAAACAAAAGAAATCTGGCCCATTAGTCAGCTCTTCAACTACACGCCCAAAAAAATTATATCCTGGAAGCAAAGATTCCAGAAGAAGATACCTGATTGGTTGACTTGTGTGAGGCCTAAGCGAGACAGACTATATGCGAAACGTTTTCACTGACCTCGTAAAATATCCTGAGCATGTATCAGCAACACATCGCTGAACAAAAGATTTTCGGCCATAAAAGCCTCCCTTTCAATGGTACTGGAAGAAATCCTTTTCTTGGGAAAATTTCTCATGGTGTTGTACGTCACTATGTATGATAATCCAATAAGATTCGCTTGTTAGTGCAAATGCTAGTCTAGATGTCTCTGATAACAACAGGTAGATTCACCGAAATACGAAACTACCAAATCATTATATTTCGCAAAGTAGCGAAAAAGACTGCAGACGTTAAATTACCAAATTGGTTTGATTTTATGCGAATACGTAAATATGAATTTTATCTCTGTTAAGTACAGTGGCTCATCTTAAACACCTTCAGCGTAATAAAACATTTAATTCAAATTAATGTATAAGTTCATTACGCTTAACGAATGGTTCGATGAGCATCGGTGATCCTTAAGAACGACGAGTTTGATAAAGCCGATTTAATGCGACTAAAATAAAATTTTACATGCATTAAATGGGAAGTATTTTAGATGATATTTTAGTATTTATAAGTATGCTATTTTAGATGCATTAATCATGTGTTGATTTAATACATTTAGAATACCACACATAGCAATGCAATGCCATAATCATTTGAGACTTAATTGCTTTTGTGAAGAAATAGTTTGTTCGCATTCTGGTGCAATTCTGAATTTTTTTTTTTTTTTTAAATTCATTGACTTATGTGTAATAATAAAAGTATTTTCAGTTGGCAGACGAGGAATCTTCAGTTAGCAGCAGCGTTTCCGGTCATATGATATCAGACGATGCACCGGTATCAACGTCCGATATTACCACGCAGGACGTGGTAACTTCGTCAAGTCCTCAACTGGTGGAACCTCACTCATTTCCTCAGAAGAAAATCATACCACCACTCACACAGCACATCACTCCTTCCAGCTGTAGCTTTTCTCTTGCAAAAGGTAATTAAGCGATATTAACCGCTGATTTAAAAATATTATTACTGAAATAAATATTGTTTATATATACTTGTATATCATATCAGTATGCTCTACTTTATGATTTTATGTTATTTAGTGAACTATGAACATACTTGGAACATTTTTATCATTTCGTCTATTAACTAGGAGTACAATATGCACAGATGACTAATGTACTTATGCAATAATATTGTTACTAATTTTGTATATATGTAAACGATTATGTTAAATTATATGTCATATTATAGTATCTTTTGTGTAATGTAACATGAAAAGTCTGAAAAGAGTAAGCTGTGTCGCAAAAATAAGATTACAAGTGCAAATCTATTTAACATTGAGATAAATGGCGAATTGGCGAGATACAGTCAAGCTGGGGATAGTTTTCCAGACTAATTTTGTCGCGAAAGGTCGCCAAACGGTGACATTTTGGTCCGCTCCCTTTATAACCGTAAATGATACTGTAATTGAACAATTATAATTGATCGTTATATGAAACTGTAACGGTATAAAGCTCTTATATGTAACTTTAACTGTATATGCCTTCTCGTAATTTCGAGAAATGGAAGGTACTGGAGATTTCTCGGCGGCTGAGGGTAAACTATGCAAGACCGGAGAGAGCATCGGGGGCCCACCAGCGGGCCAGCGGTAAATTCGCTGAACACTGGTAGTACGGTCCGAGGTTCGAATCCATCGAACGGGTTGACTTGCGTGGGCGTTTTACCCGTCAGGGAGATTTCAGAGACAATGCGTCTCAATATGTTCTTCTTTTTTCTGTATTTTATCTTAACGTACACACCTTTATGGTGGACCAATTTGACCTCCCCTTATGTGTGAGCCCTCGGGGGATTCTGTGATATGCTTTGGTAAGAGCGGAATTAATTTCCGTTGTAAACCAGAATATTCAACCAAAGCATCAAAGCATCAGCTCTCAATTGTAAGTTCAGAGTTGATTTCAGGTGATTAAGATCTACGCGAGAGCATCGCATTTTAGATGTGCTTTGCATTGCGCTGTGTTTAACGTTCTTAAAAGTTTCAACTACTGACTGTGCTCTGTGATGCTGAAAAGAGATACCTGAGTGCCTTTACGCAAAGTTCCAGAACTATAAAGTGTTTCTTTTGGGAAAATAAATTTTATCAAGCTATCATCTGATCTGCGTACATTCATTCCTTGACAAACCCATAAGCACCCAACAATATTACAGTTTATTTTGTATATATGTGTATTTTATATGAACTATTTACAAAATACCTATACTACATTTTAGTATAAAAAATGATAAAACCTTTAAATTAATTAAATGAACGTTATTCACTTTTCACCAATAAAATATATTTGTGAAATTATTTTGTTATTTTATGTTCGTCACTTCTGGCCCACCAGTAGGCAAATGGTTAAGACCACTAAACATTGGTAGTTTGAATCTTGGCAAAAAGGCTTGCTCCATGGGTGTTTCCATGGTTTGTCGCATGTGTAACGTAAATGTAAGTCAGTTTGCCATAGAAAGTCTTTATGGTTTAGCTGCACCTTCTTATATTCCTTATACTACATGGTAAAATGGTACATGGTATTCGTTATACTACATGGCACCTCCTTATAGTCAGTCCATGGTAAAACCGGCAATGTGAAATTTTTTAGTACTCCCTTTCCTTGATGCCTTAAGCACATGCTTATATTGCTTACGGTTAATCCAGCCCTGAGCATATTACTCTGAAAAAGACATTTTAAAGGTATTATTATTCGTGTCAATGCATAATTTATAGATATTGCCTTCTCATGACAAAAATTAAGCGAGTTTACTAACATACTTGCATTTAACAATATGATGTGTCTCATACCCTTAAATTGTGATGCAGCCGTACAACTAACAGCTATATAACTTCACCAGAAATTTGAATGAAACATTTATCTAAACGCAAAATTAATATTTAAATATATTTTCCTTAGGTTATATAGTGAAAGTAGATGAAATTATAAAAGAACTATCACAGTAAGTAATATTTTATTATAGTCATATATAGTAGTTATCTTTAGCTTATTTTATTATTAATACTGAAACTATTTCTCGGAGTAGATATCTTTTAAAAACCGTTTAACTTTAGTGGTTGGAGTGTTCTGTAAATCGTATATAACATTTTACAAATTCCCTCTACAATATGGCTATCTAACTGAATATGGCCAATGGGGGCGTACCCCCATCCCGTGGGTGCTGGATCCTTTCATGGAAGCGATAGTGGGTCCAGAGGCAAATGGGGGCGTTAAGACAGTCAGAAGGGGCAGCTGTGGCGCATCTACCTATTTAGGAAACAAATGTAATAAAAATGCTTTGAAAATACCTACTATTTTCATGAATAAACGTTTTACCTAGCTATCTAAAATTTTTACTAATTGTTACGCGTAAATAAGCCTTAAAAATTTTTAATTAGCATTAGGTATACGTATACGGAATTTGGTTTAGTATTGTCGGTGACAAGTGAATCACGCTATCGAGCATGTTTCGACAAAAATATAGGAGTTTGTAAAGACTGTTTTGCAGAGTGCACTGGCATCGCAAACAGGCAAAGGCATACAAGTTGATGTATGCACAAAATCAAATCTCTAAAAGGCAAGGATAGCTCTAGGAATGTCTTACGCTGCTCAGGCAGATCATTGCATAGTTCACCAGTGAACTAGCTGCAAACATCCTGACTGGCTTTTTAGAACACGTGAACACCACGCCTCAGATCTGTATCCTTAACGAACAGCACTCCTTAGACCGGTGCAGCTCAGGATCGCGCTCACTACTCTTATTGCGGGTTCAGCCTAGCTCACGGTGGATTAACTTTTGCTGATGAATTACTCTTTTTCTCCTCTTCATGCACTTAATTAAGAAAAATCAGTGCAGCACGTGAAATGCTTTTTACTTCATTTTTCGATTTCAACTCTGGCTTTGAAGTCCTTCCTTTTCTACCGGAATTGTACAAATCCACTTTTTGATTGACTTAGGGGCTACGAGAATAGGAGTAAAGGTTTTTACAAGCCGAAAATGCCCATGAAAGTAACGATCTACAACACTCCTTAGGCGGCAAGCAGTTCAATAGAAGAGGACTCGTAACATTACTTTCACAGAACGTTGACGCAAGTGACAGATGATCATCTCCTTGATCTTGTATAGAACATATTTTAATAAATTAATGAAAAATAATTAATGTAACGAATAATCGTTGTAGCGGTGAGCAGAAAACTGTTTACTTATACAGCGAAAGGATTGTGTAATTCATGAGACAGCCTTTAAAAATACTGCAAATAAATCATATTTGGGGGCAAACTTCTAGATTCCGATAATAGTGACTGGCTAATTTTTATCCTAACAAACAGTAATGCAAAATAATCCTAAATATATATATAGCTTTGTCATATGCATTTAATCTTTTTCCTATTACATGCAATAGAAAATTGCTCATACATTGAACAATAAAAAATTATGAAGAGCCATTTTAAAATTATTAGTGTTTTTAAAATTGGTACTGTTTATTTTCATGGGCATGTTCATTCCAAAAATAAGTTTCTTTATAATTGTAGGTTATCAAGAACATCACTGCTATTTCTGATGTCTACAATTCTGTAAGTAAAATTAAATTTATTAAAAAAAAAAAACATGATAGCACAATGACAAGTCTGTTTGTTTTACTGATAGAGAAAACGATACTGAGCTGGACTCCTTTTTTTTTTTTTTTCAGACTCTTTCTTCTGTTCATTTCAACCACTGTTCTTTTGTATAGGATACATTTGCTTCACCAAAAACTTTTAGCCAAAGATGACTTTTACACAGGCAGCATTCCAAAGTAAGTCAATTTTAATTTACATTTTTCAAGATCTCATTTCTACACACAAACAAATCTGTGCTTAATAGTTATTCATAAAATAGTTAATTAAATAAGGCATCATTATTACCTCTAATTTAGCTTTCAGATAGTATTCATACGGCAACAGTTACCATTTTATCGTATTCCATTAAATGGAGAAATCTAGAAAATTTTCAATTAAGAAAATTATTTTCAAAAAGATTAACTTCTCATTTCAGAATTTCATAAAGTAAAAGTAAGATATGAATGCAACTGCTCATTCTACAACTGTTCTTTCAATAACAGAAAATCACACTATATATATATAATTAATATATACAATATTAATATACACTATATAAATAAAATATATATATAAAATTACACATTATGCCTCATATCATTAATAGGATATGAGAGGCATCAGTAAGATACCAAATAGGTGCCATAGTGTATATTCTTAAGAGCATCAAGTCTAGGCAGAGCAGAGGCACATAAAATTTATTGACGTAAAATCTTTTCGTATGGTCTAGATGGATGGAGAAGGTAATAAGAGATTTTTCAAATGCATCCTTCATAGTGTTTTTAATTAAAACAAGATGCATTAGGCTCTCTCTGTCAGGTCACACTGTCACCGTAGTGCTTACATTCATAAAATCAAAAATAACTTCTACCGAGTTTCTAAATAAAGTATTCAATAATTAATTTATGTCCAAGATAAACCCTTAAGATGATAAACATTATTTTGCTATGGCTTTATTGATGGTCAGTTTAGCATGGTCTTAATATGATGCGCATGGTAATCAATTACTTAAATACCTTAGGCAAAGCTCTTAACTTAATATATTAGGCATCAGTTATTTATAATTGTAGGTGATCAAGAACATATCTTTTGTGTATGCTTTTAACAACTTATGCATAGAATTATATATCTATTCTACTAATGTATAATATTTAATATTTATTTACTCTACACATATACAATAAAGTTTTTTAAATGATTGATAAAACATACAGTTTATAAAATCATTTAAAGCAAAATTGTGTGCTTTCTTTTGATATACACTGAAGATTTAAATTAGAAATTATTAAACCTCAAAAATTAAATGTTATTCATATTTCTGCGCATCTTTCAGTTTTTCCTTTAAATCAAGTATAATAATATACAAATATTACCTAATTATGTTTAAAATTTATCTATTACGTGGATCGGAAAAGAGATCGAATAGTGGGAAAAGTTAGTTCATAAATTAATAACTATGTAGCACATTTTTATTAATTCAAAATTATGTGCATTTTCGTTAAATGAATGTATCTGGAATTGTACCATTGAGCAAAATTAAGACATAACTGAAAAAAAAACGACCTGAGAACGTTATAAAATTATAAAGATGAAAGAAACGCCTGTTTCTTCTAATCTTACAATGATGTAATTCGTCATTAAAGCTGTGGCAAATTTTGATGACAGGTTAAAAGCACTGTGTACGTATTTATTTTGAAACATTTTCAGTGTAATTTTTTTATGATAGTGTAATTTTTTTATATATTTTTATGGTATCACTTTGTTGAATATGTCTCAAAGATATCATTGAGATGAGTCCCGGTGGTGGCAAGTGATTAGAAAACTTTCAGTACTAGTCCACTACTTTTCACAATTTAAAATTTCATGAAGCATTGCTTTATTCAACGGACTTTTGTGAACAAACGATTAGGGTCAACAATCAGTAAACTGCAGAGAAATACAGCAGCTAGGCAGATTGCATTTGACAAGTAGTGGAAAATAGTACATCGGTAAAGTCACCGTATATTGTATGTAGATAAAATGAAAATGGCCTCCATGTGAAAAGGTTCCAATAGTTCCCTCTCAGCCTCTTCCATCTCAACCTGCAACAACATTTAAGGTGGTGACAAGATTATATCATATGCAGCCTCAATGGCTGGATAGAAACTCTTTTCAGAGGCAAGTCGGTATATAGTCTAAATATTGATTTTCTATGAATTTCCATACACAGATATTCAGGCACTATCTAAATTTCAGCAACCTAAATTTCCATGGCAGTGGTTCCGTCATATGTCATATGAGGTAGCATTATCATAAATGGCTACACATAGCCTCATGTCAATCAAAGCAGTTCTATCATAAGGCATAAGGATGATATTCTTCGTTGCCATGATTATCTTCCCATGGCAGCTGTTAAATCAGATTTTCAATTAATGGATAATGTCTAACCCCTTCAAGCTCGCTCAGTGGACAACTGTCATGGATCTGAAAATATTGTACAACTAGATAGCATGTTCATCGAATACCAACCTAGAAAGCACTAGAACATAACAGGGCAGAGGGCCATGCAACACTAGCCCCTCTTAGGATACTCCAGGAATTTTGTCTGCCTTTCTGCAAGAATGGCAATTAATTCACAAGAATTTATTGAAAAGTTACTAGTGCAGGAAGGCAGTACTGATACTTAAAGAAGTATTGCCATTTCATACTGATATGTTGTATATCCAGTGTGCTCACACATCATATTAATAGCACATTAACTTGAGCAGTCAAAGATAAATTTATTACTTTCTGTCCTCGTTGCTGCCAGTTCTGTTTATTCATATATCATTTATTGTCTGACATATTCATTTTACTCGTACATAACACCAAATTAGTACATTTTGTATCAAATTGTATTACTTTGTATTTAATACATTCAGATATACGCAAGATTTTGTTATTTATCCTTCAATTTTGCATACCAATGAAATACTTTCATGAGAACAATTAAGAAAAGATGCAAATCAAAATTTTCATTATAAAGTATACGAGTATGCGGTAATAATAAAGAATTAATAATGGAATGCATATTTACTAGATCATTAAATATAAATACATTCTGAACTTATCTGTAAATATCTTATCAATATATGATACGAAACATTTCTTTTCAGTTTTGGAGAAGTATCTGACGTTCTCAAGCCAGATTTCTCAAGTGTAGTCGAAAACTTAGAAGAAAGAATACACAGTTTATCAGAGGTAAAATATTTTTACTAAGCTGCAACTTTCAATACAGGATCACTTAAAAAAAAGCGGGATAAAGGTACTTTTAAAGGGTTTTATAGTCCTAGCCTTAGGTAAAGGCTAAGACTATAAAAAATTTACAGATCCAAAAAACTCTTAAAATATTAATTAAAGTGATTCATTTAAAAATGCCAAGGAATACTTTTTTGTGTGCTAATTTAAAAGGTTTTTGGCATGTGCTGTATTTGTTCATAGCTGCATATAATTTTAAGCAGGAGAAGTTTCCATTCTTTCCGACTTTGGCTGAAAATCATGTAGACTCATTTATCATGGAAATATGATTTCAAGCAAATGACATCATACTATTTTTTCCTTCTATATAAATTCCTTTAAAATATTTATTTTATTTATTTATTCAATAATTATCCCCCCTTACTAAAGATAATTATTAACAATAAACATAGGGTTGGAAAGAATTACTACAGAAGCAATCATTTGATCCCCCCCCGTAGATAAAACATGTGTAGAGTGCCGATTCTTAAATTCCCTCTGGCACTAAAGCACTAAATAAATACTTCGTTATTGCAGAAACAATAATTTAGCACAAATTTGTGCGATCAATAATTTGGCTCCATAGCTGCGTATCTGCTTGGCATACATCTCAAACCGAAACATCGTTAATTTTACGCCCACTAATATATCATATCCCTGACGACAACCTGGCGAATCATTATCTCTATCTCTACATATAATAAAAGAGACATTCTGTGTGTGTGTCTTTCGTTCGTACTGCGCGTAAGCTAATAAACCCAGGGCTACGAAATTTGGTACATAGGTGCAACTAGACAAGAAACATTGTTGCCAGATCGTGCGATTTTTCGAAAATTTGCAACTTTTGACAAACACGTGCTACAAAAATTTTAGTGTTTGGGATTTTTTGAAATTTTTGCGACCTCCATCACTTTCTTATGCTACTTTTTCCGACTTCAAAGATTCTTTAATATATCATAAAATACACTCTTAGACACACACACACACACACACACACACAAAAAAAAAAAAAAAAAAAGACGCATCGAGAAGATATAAAGCAAATTGGACACAAACTGATATGCATACAGGTTTCGACGGAAAATGCAAAATTTTACATTTTGGCTGCCAATGAATGAACGGTTGTCGCTACAGCGCATCTGATCTGCGCAACTGGCAGGATATTTAAGAGAAATTACGATTCCAGATCATAAATTCTTCACGAATTTCATTCCGTGTACTCTGGTAGACAGTAACTGTGCCTCGCATACACGTGCGCGAACAATATACGCAGATGTTAGAATTTGAGAGAGATCGTGTAGTTGAGCTCAAAGAAGCCGGTTGGTCTTATCGGTGAATCACTCGACATTTGAGCAGGAGCGATGCCACTATTAGACGATGTTGGCAGGAATGGGTGAACCATGGCCGCACACAGCGTCAAGAAGGAAGCGGTAGGCCTGGAGAAACGACAGAACGTGAAGACCGAGCAATCGTCAGAGCGGCACTCACAGCCTCAGATGCACCATTATCATCGCTTGTACGTGCAACTAGTGCTTCAGTGACCGCAAGGACCATTCATAGACGGCTCACAGAAAGGGGGCTGAGGTCACGGCGCCCCTTGCGATGACTACCATTGACCTTTGTCAAGCCCGTTTGCAGTGGTGTCGGGTTCATTCGCACTGGAATGTCACTTACTGGAGTAGAATTGTCTTCAGTGATGAGTCTCGCTTTGAACTGAGCCCCGATGACCAGCGAAGGCGAGTCTGGAAATACCCCGGAAAGCGGTGTGATACCAACCTGACTGTCTTCCGCCGACAACCAGGAGTGATGGTCTGGGGTGCCATTTCATTTCATAGAAGGACCCCTTTGGTTGTCATCCGTCGCAACCTTATAGCACAGCGGTACGTCGATGAAGTTCTAAGGCCCGTTGTGTTGCCCTTCATGTCACGCCACCTTGGGCTTACATTTCTGCAAGATAATGCCCACCCCCACACTGCACATGTTTCTACTGCTTACCGAACATTACCTTGGCCAGCAAAGTCGCCGAATCTCTCTCCTATTGAGCACTTTTGGAGCATTATGGGCAGGGCCCTCCAACCAGCTCGGGATATTGACAATCTAACGTGCCAGTTGGACAAAATTTGGCTCGATATCCCTCAGGAGGACATCCGCAACCTCTATCAATCGATGCCAAGCCGAATAACTGCTTGCATAAGGGTCAGAGGTGGATAAACGCGTTACTGCCTTTTTCACTTTATGAATCTCTATCACTTCAATAAATCATCAAATTTTTCTCAAACTGTAATTATTTGTTTTTCTGTACATGTACATAACTTCTACCAATTTTCGTCCCGTTCGGATAACTCCTTCTTGGTACGTTGTGGGTTTTTTTTTTTTTTTTTTTTTTTTTTTTTTTTTTTGTCTAAGAGTGTACTTACATGTTAAAATAATGTATCAATTAAAAATAATTTACATTAGAAAAAATAGTTTATTTAGGCTTAAATAGAAGTTGGCATCTGGCAATCCAATTTACATGTGGGCTTTCCCTTAAGGCTGCACAGCCTGATCCCGGGAGCGTAATGGCAGAACCGCACATTGAGTTGAACAATGTTAAGCAAATTTCGCTTAGTGCGCATGCTTGATGGTGTACCTTTGGCGCGGGGAGAAATATTGGCGACTAAGCAACCCTACGCTAGCTTATTCGTGATCACCATGGCTGTCGAGTGTGTTCGAGTGATGTTTACAATTGTAATGTTGTGGAACTTTGCTTATTAGTTATTTTAACGTCCATACCGATTGCACTTGCTTATTTTTCTAATATATATTTCATTGTAATTTGTCAATAACAGTGCATTTAATATTTGTTAACATATGTTCGTAATAATTCGTTATTTAAATGTAATTTGTTTACATGTTATAATTCAGTAATTGTAAACTGGAGTACCTCGCTTAGTTTGTTAGCGTATATTCGCGCTTTTATTTTATCATTTCAAAGAATTTAATAACTAGCATTAAGGAATTGTAAAACTTCTTCAGTGTTATTTGCAAGCACTTGTTATATCCCTCAGTGTTTCTTTATGTATGTACGAATGGAACGTATGGTAAATCCTGAATTGTTTTTATTGCTTAAAAGTATAATGAATAAATTTTCAACTAATATATCCTAAATTTCAGTCTTTTTCTGAACGAAAATTTGTACAGTTCCAAAGGAATGTGCAGAATTTCATAGGTATTATATTTTACATTTTGAATGCAAACACTGCTTCACATTACTTCGCAATAATTTCAGCTTTCTAGTTTCTAGTTGTTTGAGCAGTACAGCAAAAAATAGTATTTTAACACAGTAATTAATTTACATTTACATTATACTCTACGAAGATTTAAACGCCAGATTTGTTTACAATCAGATGGCGGTACATCTACCATATACCGTATTTATCTTCTTTTCAAATCGCGCCAATATAGTAATTACGCCAAATTGTTTTCTGGGCATGCGCAGTATGCGACATTCGTTTAACACTGTTCAACTCAATGTGCGGTCTGCCATTACGCATCCCGGTATAACAAGAAGGGGAAAGGAGGAAAAAGTGGGAAAGAAAGAAAAAAATCTGCTTCGAGACCTCTCACTTCAGCCCCTCGGCTCCCGTGTTTTTTTTTTTTTTTTTTTTTTTTAAATCAGTTCAATTTAAGTTTTAAGTCAGTTTTGTTTTTAAGTCCAATTCTATGGCGATAACCAATCGAACAAAAGAACTTGGGTACCCAAACAGAGAAAGGAATGTAACATATATTGGGTACCCAAACAGAGAAAGAAATGAAATTAATTCTCCTGATTATAATATTGCTAAGAACTAAGCAATGGAAATGACTTAAAACTCAAAGCAACAACATTTTTCTAAATAACAACACAAGTAAATTTAACCGTGAAAGAACAAGGCTTTTTTAAATAATCAGGAATCTGAAACAAGGCCACCAGGCAGAAAGGTAGGACGGAAAACTCACTGAAAACATTCCTCAATTAAAATGTTCACATTTAAGAAAAAAAAAAAAAAAAAAAAAGAATTAAACTAACTGTCAATTAGAATAAATTAGTACAAAAGCGCTAACAATCGAAACCTGAGAAATCTCTTAAGAATGGGTATACACAAATTAATTTAAAAATAGAATCTAAATTAAATGACAATTAATTGAAAAAGAAATGGATATTTAAACAATTGAGAATGAGCAATATTGTTTTAAAATTTTCGTTAAAGCTAAGATATGTAATTAAAACGGCTTAAAATCGAATAAAGTCTATAATTTCGGAACCAATATAGTAAATTTGTGATGACGTCAGAGGTCATGTGAGCATGAATACTATGACGTCACGAATATCACGTGATCTCTGACGTCATTTGCGACTTTGTTTGCTTTTTTATTTTATTTTATTCTATCTTTTTTGATAAAATCGCGTCATTTTGAATAGATTCATTCTTTTAGAAATGTGGTTTTGGGCAATTTTTTATTCAATGCTTTGTATACTGGACTGCTGACTGTTGAAAATATGAGATAAAATGCTGCTTATTTTCTTTTGATTTTTGGACACGCAACATGCACATCGCAATCTTCCTATTCTGACGTGCGTGTGCCTCGCAAGACACATCAGAAAGAATTTCCTTTTCTTTTTTTCTCTCTCTTTATTAGCTAATGGCAAAGAGGTTTGTATATTTTGAATTACGTCATTCACAAAGCACAATTTTTATTGGTTATTGCTTTTTGATGATAGTTTCATTCTTTTAGAAATGTGTTTGGCGACAATTTTTAATTCAGTGCTTTGGATACTGGACTGCTAACTGTTTTCTCTTGAAAATATGAGATTTATTACTTATTTCATTGTATTTTTTATATTATGTTTTAATTATATATAATTTTATGAAACGTTTTGCATGATTTTTTTTTAAGAAACAAAGTTCTTAACTTCCTTTATACCATTTGAATTCTTAAGATTG